TTCCAGCTACTGGGAAGGCTGAGGCGGGAGGATCGCCGGAGCCCAGCAGGTCGATTCTGCGGTGGCCGGGAGTGGCCACTGCACTCCAGTCTGGGTGAGAGAGTGAGACTCCAACTCAAAAAAAACAAACAAACAAAAAGAAAGATGGGCAGAGCAGAACTCCAGCAGGACTTCCAGCCCGACAGTCCAAATCAAGCAGACAGCATCCCGCAAACTCTTATGCACATTTTGGTGTTTGTGTAATTGGTGCCAGTTCTCTCCTTAAACACGACTGAAAATCGAGGGGGTGGGGAAAGGGGAACCTGGGGCTCGAATCTGAGAATCTTGGGGTGGGAAGAGGAGGGCTTGGGGCCGCCCCCCATGTTGGGGTGAGCCCAGGTCCTGGCTCCTCCTCTGTGGAATGGCGTGACGTCCCGGGGAAGGGCCCGGAGAGCCTCTGGGAAGCAGGACCAGCCCCGATCAGGGAAGGATCACAGAACTTCCCGGAGGCGCCAAAATGCCTGCCGAGACCCGGGATCGAACCAGGGACCTTTAGATCTTCAGTCTAACGCTCTCCCAGCTGAGCTATCTCGGCGGGGCGGCAGGGCCCTCTCTCGCCCGGACTCCGCCCCACGCCACGCCGTGAGCGCGCCCGCGCAGCCGCCTGCGAGCGAGCAGAGCGCGCAAGCCTCGTAAGAACCGACCGGGAAGCGGCCCCAGCGTCGTCTCTGTGGCGCAATCGGTTAGCGCGTTCGGCTGTTAACCGAAAGGTTGGTGGTTCGAGCCCACCCAGGGACGCGGACGCCCTTTTGCCCTCCGGAACGCGAGCGCCGCCCCCGCTTTCACCTGCGTGCTGCGGCTCCTTGAGTCCTTTTATCCAGCGACCGCAGCCACAACTGTGAGCGGAAAGCGCGGCGGAACGCTTGGGCCCCGGGTTCCCGTTTCCTCACGCGCCCCGAGCCGCTTTGGGCGGCGGACCGGGAGACCCGGAGCGTTCGGGAGGGCGGACCGCAGAGGTTGTCTGAAGGCCGAGGCCGAGATGGCGGCCCTGCCAGGTGA